GGATGACATTCTGGAAAAGACAAAGCCGTAAGTCAGAGAACAGATCAATGGTTGCCAGGGGCTAGGGGATGCAGAGAGTGGGTGACCACAAAGGGGCAGCATGGGGAAACTTCTGGGGGGTTGGAACTATTCTATTTCTTGATTGGGGTGTTGGCTACATGACTGTACCCTTTTGCCAAAACCCATAGAACTACACTATAAAGGGTGGGTTTTACTGTATGTAAATTATACTTCAATAAACCTAACTCATTTATCGCCGTAGTAAGGCCACTTCCCACACCCCCACTCAGACTAACCCCACCCTGGGAACCCTTGGGGACCAGAGCCAGGAATCCTGGCTCAAGAACTGGTTCTGCCCTTTCAGAGGAAGCTGTCCCTCAGAATCACCAGCGAGCTTTAAATTGCTGATGCCACAGCTGCAGCCTAAATAGGGGTTCTGATTTTACGGGCTTGGGGTGCAGTCTGGGCATTGGGAGTTTTTTGAAAGCTTGCCAGGTGATTCTAATGACCCAGACGCTGAGCTCCCTAAGAGCAGGAACTATGATTTACTCAACTTTGTGTCCCCATATTCCCCATAACTGTGTGCATTGCAGCACAGGGGGGCAGGCGGCACAGTGTGAAAGAGCTGGAAACTGTGAACACCTGTCATAATCACGTGTGGTCGCCACCGTTCTCAGTGCTGGACACAGTCATTCAGTCAACCTCCCCAAGCCCCAGGGAGGTAGGACCGTGGTTATCCTCTTTTGACAGGTGAGGAAACACCAGCACAGGGTGGTGAAGTCTTGCCCAAGACGACATAGCCAGTGAGTGGCAGAGCTGTGTGGCGGCCTGGACCCACTAACCACTGGGAGATACTGCCCCCCAGCCCCAGCTGGAGCCAGGCTTGGAATCAGATGGGCCTGGGTTTGAATCTGGGTTCGTTACTTACAGGCTGGGTGACCATGACAAGTTATTTAGTTTTGCTTGGTTTCGCCTTCCTCGTCCATAAAACGTGGACACTTGAACTGATGTCAAAAGGTTGTTCCAGAATGAAATGAGATGATGTGTGCCTAGTGCTTACTGCATAGTAAAATACTCAATAATGCTAGCGATGACGAGTGTAGAAAGAAATGAATGAATGAATGAATGAATGAATGAATACCGTTCCCAAAGCCCCAGGGTGCCAGCAGCAGGGCCAGCTCCTGCAGAACGGAGATTTCCCAGGAGGCAAGGCAAGGAGCAGAGAGGTCTTCCAGCTGACCAGGGTCCACCAGGCCCTCCAGAGATGGCCCCCCCGGCATCTGCCAGCCTTCCCTCCTCCCCCTGAGCTCCCTCTCTAGGGTGGGGGCATGTGGGCACCAGCACCACCAGGCTGCTAGGGGAGCCTCCAGCCTTTTAGAAGTAAGGACCTTTGGTAGTAAAAACTCAAAGCCCTGACAGTCTTCACCGCCTGATGCAGCCTGTCACCAGGGGAGCGAATCCAAGGTGAGGCACTGCCAGGGAAGGCCAGGAGCTCCCTCAGGCCACATGGGCGCCTGTGAGCTCCCAGAAGAGCCTGGAGGACAGCACCCTCTCAGTGTCCGTGGCTTTCCGGTGGGCCCCTGAGTTCTGCCAGGTCCAGGTTCTGCTCCACCCCCTGGTTACTACACGTTTCCACGTCTCCACCACACTCGTTCGTGGAATAAGCGACCACATTCCCACTGGGTTTTTCCAGGTAGTGTCAGTGGCCGCTGGGGCACACAGCCTCTGGGCTCTGGCACTGATGCCTTAGTGACCCCATGTGGTGGCAGGTCAGGCCCTCAGGGAAGGAGGGGAGGGCAGGTGAATCTCCCCTTGTTCCTTCTGTTATTGTCCCCTTAACGTGGGAAAGGCACTCTTATTCTTGTGATGATAGAAGTAATACACGATACTGAAACAAAAATTCATATACCACAGAAGCTTAGGGTGTCAGGGCCCAGGCTGGGGCCACTGGATGTGGCCTGCTCGCCACTGCTACCCCCTGGTGGTCCCTTATGAACAAGCAGCCTCACCCACCAGCCAGGGGCCAAACAGAGGTGGTCCTCCAGAGGGCAGTTGCTCCTGCCCTGCCTCCTCCTCCCTCCTTTTCCCTCCTTTCTTCCCTCTTTCCCTCCTTTCCTCTTCCACGTGCCTCCCCTCTCTGCTTGCCCTATTGCTCTGCTGCTTGATGGAAGGAGATCTGACCTGAGTTAAAACCTGACTCTGGTATCCACCAGCTGTGTGACCTCGAGCCAATGACTAAACCTCTCTGAGACTTAGTGTCCTCATCTGGAAAATGAGGATTATTAACTCCTGCGGGTAAAATGAGATCATCCATGTAAAACACCTAGCACAGTGCCTGGCCCTGTAGATGTTTATTATTTATTGTTATTATTACTCTCATGCCTGCACTTGACAGGTGCTCAACCAGTGGTAGTTTGCTTGCCTTCTTCTTCATCCCAGGTAGCCCGGGCTGCACATTAGACCCATGTGTGTAATGTTGAATACACCCGGGCCTCCTCCATCCCAGACCAGTTAAGGCAGGAATATTTGGAGATGGATACAGGCATTGGTATTTTTTAAAATTTTAGTTTATTTTTATATTTATTTTTTCATCAGGATTTTTTAATCTCTCCAGGTGATACTAATGCATAATCCAGGCTGAGAACCACACTGGGGCAACCAACAGCCCTGGGTTACCTGGGACTTGCCTGGTTTAGCACTGAAGTCCCAGGTCCGAGGAACCCCTTCAGCTCTAGGCAAACCAGGACGCTGGGTCACCCCTTTCCCAAAGGAATGGACCCACGTTTTCTGAGTCCCCAGTCAGGACACACGGCCTGGGCGCAGATGGCTGGAAATGGATTATTTGAAAGCTCGGCTTGGGGTGGTGGGTCACAGAGGCCACAGGGGCAGCTGTGGCAGGAGTCAGGCTCTGAGGGGGAGAGTGGCCGGCTGTGGCTCAGTCAGACAGGTCCCCGTCGTTGGGCCCCCTGGGGCTCCAGCCGCTGGCCGCCCGCTCCATGGCCTTCATCCAGCGGCTCCTCAGCTCCTCGGTCTCAGCCTTGAAGGTGTAGAGCTGGCCCGACTGTTGCAGCTGGAAGACCCGGGGGTCCGCCTGGGGCCCAGAGCTCACCTGGTAGCCCAGCAGGGGGATGGAGGTGTGAGCCCGCATGTCCTGGGAGGGGAGGAGAGAGCTGTGGGCCGCTGCTCTCCCCTAGCCCCCCCACCTCAGACAGCTGTTTTGAAGGTACCAGCCACACACCTGCCTCTGACACCCCAAACACCCACGAAGCAGGGTGGGCTGGCCAGAGGGCACCAAGGAAGAGGAGAACTGGCCGCCCCCTGAGGGCAACGCAGTGGTGACCTGGAGTCCGGGCCCAGCTCTGAAAGCAGCTAACCCTGTGACTCGAGGGAGCCATGTCCTCGTTGGGCTTCAGCTTCCTCATACCATATATGGGCCCACAATACTCACCCGCCCTCCCCAACAGACACATACCACGAGAAGGCCAAAGCCTGGGGGGCAGGTGGCGGCGTTACCTGAGGGGCAGCATAGACATAGAGCACCAGGGGGTCGTCCCGGGGGATCACACACCAGCCCCGGGGGCCACTCTTGCCCCACTTGTCCCCGACAAGCTGCAGGAAGCTGCACATTAGGCTCTGCTCGGACCACGCCATGGACCCTTTCTAAAATCAGAGAGAGGGAATGTCAGGGAACAGGGCACCTGCTAGGGGACAGACATTGGTCTGAGGGCCTGACAATCACTCTTTCTAATCCTTGCAGCCATCCTGCAAGGAGGAGTTATTTGTCCCTGAGGCTCAGAGAGGTCCCATGATGGGCTTGTGGTCACACAGCTGGCCAGTGGCAGAGCTGCTGTCAAACCCCAGCCAGCCTGAACTTGGGGCAGGTGCTGGGGGTGCTTATCACTTGTGTTGCCCCAGGGGACAGAGTTGGGGCCTGAGAAGGGGCTGACCATCCCCTCTCTCCAGGAGCAGGCTGTGTGGCCTAGTGGTCAGGGAGAGTGTGAGCAGGGGCTGGACCTAGAAGAACGGGGGGATTGGAAAGTGGGCAGATGTTGATGGAAAGGAACCAGTTTGAAACCTGGGAGCTGTGTTCAGCTGGAATAGACTGGGGTCTTCTCCCACCTCCCCGGGACGGTGGGATGTCGACCCAGCCTTTAGTGAGGGAGGGGCAGTGGTAACCAGTGTCAGGGCCGGGTCACATTGTATTTACAGCATGAAGCTGAACACAGCCAGTGCCCCATGGGTGCTGATCGGCAGGGAGGGAGCAGCCCGGGTGCACCTCTGGGGTGGGGAGTGGCTCAGCCAGGCCCCAGGGGCTGCAGAGGGAATGTCTGTGGCAGAGATCAGAGAGCTGGCTCCTAACTCGCTGTGTGACCTTGGGCAAGTCACTTCTCTGGGCCTGGGTCTCCATGGGATAGGTCCCTGAAGCCCCTTCCAGTTAGAATGAAGTCTCCAGCCTGCCTCTGTCCAGCAGTGGGACCCTGACCTGGAGCCTCAGTTTCCCCATCTGTAAAACGGAATCAGCAGCACAGCTCTCTTCACCTCCTGGGGCTGTTGGGGCAGGGCATGGGGACGTGAACAGGAACTGTCCAGAGAGGCTGTGTGATTGTGGGATGCGGACACAGGGGAGAGGCGGAAGAGCTGGATGACAGCCTGGAGCCAAAAGTTGCTTCCATTTGGTGACAGGCCCAGCTCTGTTTGGGGGACAGGGGTCGGGGGGAGGGATGTCTGTGGGCAGAGAGCGGAGGACAGGGAGCGTGACCCCAGCTGGCTTATTCCTCAGCACCTAGGACAGTGCCAGCGTGTCACCCCGCACGCATTTGCTCAGTGGGGGAAGGGGCCCTCACCTCCAGGATGCCCCGTCTCTTGTCCTCCTTGTCCTCAGGGAGCACGTTTCCCGTGAGGAACGTGTAGCAGTCCAAGCAGACTCGGTTGGGCCTGTTGTCGTCGTATTTGAGCTCGGCCCTGTAGTCGGAGCACCTGGCACAGACCACCTGGGGGAGGACAGGCGGGAGGGGTTGGGGCCTGAGGTGAGGCAGGGGATGCCGTGTTTGTACCTTGGCCGGCGGGGGGGCGGCGTGAGAGCAACCAGGGACAGGAGGAAGAAGCAGCAAGATTCAGGAGAGGAATGGAGGCAGAGAGGGGTGTCCCCGTGCTGGCAGAGGCCCAGCTGCCTGGAGGCTGCGGTGCAGGGGGAGACCTCAGGCTCTGGGCTCCCCAGTGGGGACCTGAGACCTGGCCCCCACTGCAGGTCTCAAATTCCTGCCCTTCAGAGTCCCCTTTCGTGAAGGCAGCTGGTTTTTTTAGCTTTACTTTTTTGTGAGAAAGATCAGCCCTGAGCTAACATCCATGCCAATCCTCCTCTTTTTTTTTTTTTTTTGGCTGAGGAAGACTGGCCCTGGGCTAACATCCATGCCCATCTTCCTCCACTTTATATGGGATGCTGCCACAGCATGGCTTGACAAGTGGTGCATCGATGCGCGCCCGGGATCCAAACCGGCGAACCCTGGGCCGCCACAGCGGAGCGCGCACACTTAACCGCTTGCGCCACCAGGCCGGCCCCAATGAGTGTTTTTGAGGATATAAAAACATGTGGAAATACAGTCATGAGTCACTGAACGACGGGGATACAATCTGAGATATGCATTATTAGGCGATTTCGTCATTGTGCGAACATCACAGAGTGGACTTACACAAAACTAGATGGTATAGCTTGCTACACACCTGGGCTGTATGGTACTAATCTTATGGGACCACAGTCATATATGCAATT